GGGGTTCTGGGTCCCCCCGTCTCTGACTGTGGTCCCCCCATGGCAGGTGGGGGCAGCGGGATTGGTGCAGGTATCTGCCGGGGGGTTTCTGGGGGTCCCTAGAGGGGTTCTGGGTCCCCCCCACCCCCGTCTCTGACCCTGGTCCCCCCATGGCAGGCGGGGGCAGCGGCATTGGCCGCGCTGTCTGTGCCCGGCTGGCCGAGGAGGGGGCACTGGTGGTCGTGGCTGACCAGAATGAAGTGGGGGCTGCGGAGACAGTGCGGGGGCTGCCACGGGGGGAGCCCGGCCAGGAGCATGAGGCGTTCGGGGTGGACGTCAGCTCAGCCCAGAGCGTGGGGGAGCTCATGGCTCGGATCCAGGTAACGGGGCTGGAGAGAACCCAGGAGTCCGGGCTCCCCCCACTGTAACCAATGGATTCCTCGCCCCTCCAGAGAACCCAGGAGTCCTGGCTCCCGCCCCACCACTCTAACCACTAGGCCCCACTGCCCTCCCTGAGAACCCAGGTGTCCTGACACCCCCCCTGGCCTCCGGGAGAACCCAGGCCCCCTGATCCCGCCCCCCACCCCACTCTAAGCACAAGCCCCTACTGGTGTCTGGGAGAACCCAGGCCCGCTGACCCCTTCCGCACCCCCATTCTAAGCACAAGCCCCCACTGTCCTCCAGGAGAACCCAGGTGTCCTGCCCCCCCCCCCCCCCCCCACTCTAAGCACAAGCCCCCACTGGCCTCAGGAGAACCCAGGCCTCCTGACCCCCTGCTGTCCCCAGGCCCGGTTCTCCGCCTCGCCCCGGGTCTGCGTGAGCTGCGCCGGGATCACCATGGACGAGTTCCTGCTCAAGCAGACGGAGGCAGCATTCGACAAGGTGCTCCAAGTCAACCTCAAGGTACAGGGGTCTCCAGATGGGGGCAGGGCAGGGCCCCCCCAGCTGGGACCCCCCCCCCCGGGCTAACTTGGTCCTCCTCTCCCCAGGGAACCTTCCTGGTCACCCAGGCTGTGGCGCGTGGACTGGTGGAGAGCGGAGCCCCAGGGGGGTCCATCATCAACATGGGCAGCATCGTGGGCAAGGTGAGAGCTGCGAGCTTCCTCGGAGCAGTGTCCTGGGGGGACAGTGGGGGCTGTGAGCTTCCTCAGGGCAGTGTCCTGGTGGGATAATAGGAGCTGTGAACTTCCCTAGAGCAGTGCTATGGGGGGATAATAGGGGCTGTCAGCTTCCCTGGAGCAGTGCCCTGGAGGGGGGGAATGGGGGCTGTGAGCTTCCCTGGAGCAGTGCCCTGTACTCACATGTCCCTCTCCCTGACAGGTGGGGAACCTGGGGCAGGTGAGCTACGCAGCATCCAAGGCTGGCGTGGAGGGGCTGACCAAGACCGCTGCCAAAGAGCTGGCCAGGTGGGGCTGGGGGGGGACTGCAGGGCGGCAAGGGGGCAGGCTGAAGGGAGGACGGTGGGGCAGGCTGCGGGGTGGGCTGGGAAGGCTGTGGGTACAGGCTGGGCGGTGCAGCTGGGGGGCAGGCCGAGGAGGCCTGGGAAAAGTAGGGCAAATCATGGGCTGGGGGGCAGGGGGATGATGTGGGGGGCTATTCTGGGAAGATGGGGGGCTGGAGCTTAGGCTGGGGTGGAGGTTTGGGAGGCATAGTTGGGGGCAGCTGGCTGTTGGGGGGAAGCAGGTCAGGGGGAGCTGTGGTGACCAGGCAGGGGGGCTGCCCTCTCTCCCATGATCCCCCCCAGGTTCGGGATCCGCTGTAACGTGGTGCTTCCCGGGTTCATCGCCACCCCCATGACGGACAAGGTGCCTCCCAAAGTGCTGCAGAAGGTAATACCGGAGGGCCTGGGCCCCATAACTCCCCCGCCCCCTCCCTTCAGAGAACCTGCCCTGTATTACCCTGAGCCCCACAACCCCCTCTGCCTCGTATCTGCCTCCCCCTGAGCCTCACAACCCCTCTCTGCCCCATATCTCCCCACCCCACAACCCCCCTGCCCCATGTTCCCCTCAGCCCCATAGTGTCCCTCTACCCCGTTATCCACATGCCCAGCCCACGTTTCCCTCTGAAGAACCTGCCCCATATTCCCCCATCACCCTGGCCCCCTCAGCCCCCTCTGTCCCATACCTCCCCCAGTGCCCTCCTCCCCACGGAGCCCGACAATCCCTCACACCCCTTATTCCTGCCCAGTACCCCCCATTGCTCCACAACCTAGGGGATGGGGGATATTGGGGCTGTGAGCTTCCGCACAGCAGTGCCCTGGACGGAGCGGTGCATGGGGCGGGGGAGGGGGGGCACTATCTCCCCTGAGGCACCCAGCCCATAACCCCTTATTACCCCCTCCCCCCTGCAACTCCTCTCCTTCCCCTGCAGATCCGAGCCCTGCCCCCCCGGTTCCCCCCTTTCCCCTGGGGGGCAGGGGGGCTCCATGCTCACCAGCCATCTCTGACCCCTCCCCTCCCGCTGCTCAGTTTGCAGGGATGGTGCCGTTGGGACGACTCGGGGACCCCAAAGGTGAGACCCCCGACTCAGGGTGCCCTGTGCAGTGGGGCTGGATCTGCTGGGCGTGAGGAGGAGGGGTGTGGGGCACAGTTCTGGGGGGTGCATGTATAGATTGGGGTACGGGGAGGTCGGGGCTGTGCACACTGATTTGGGGTGTTGCACAGAAGACTCCCCACTAGGGAAGGGGCTGTGGCCCCCACACATGTGGCTGTTACTGTCCCGCCCCCCCCTTCTGCCCCCAGAGGTCGCTGACGTCTGCGTCTTCCTGGCCTCAGACGAGAGTCGCTACATAACAGGGGCCAGTGTGGAGGTGACAGGTATGGGGCGGGGGTCAGGAGCCAGGACTCCTGGGTCCTATCCCAGCTCTGGGAGGGGAGTGGGGACTAGTGGGTTAGAGCGGGGGTGGGGTGGGAGCCAGGACTCCTGGGTTCTCTCCCCGGCTCGGGGAGGGGAGTGAGGGCTGCTGGGTTAGAGCAGGGGGGGCTGGGAGCCAGGACTCCTGGGTTCTCTCCCCGGCTCAGGGAGGGGAGTGGGGGCTGCTGGGTTAGAGCACGGGGGGCTGGGAGCCAGGACTTCTGGGTTCTATCCCAGCTCTGGGAGGGGAGTGGGGTCTAGTGAGGTAGAGACCAGCCAGGACGGACGGGAGGATGGGGTGAGAGACAGAGATGAGGGAGGGGCAGGGATACGGGGTGCTTGGGAGTAGGGGCAGGGGTGGGGG